TTGACACGTCAAATAACCCCAACATGCAAAGTTTCAGCGAATTCCGAAATTCCGATCTAGTGTTATGCGTAAAGCAGCCCCTGCAACTTTGTGGGAACCCCAAATTTTTCTTATTGTGCTAAATAAGTCAAGCTTTAGCACCAATTCATGCATAATTCAGGATCTTTGTGGATGGTTTAAGTTGAGAACGGCTTCAATTTGCTTCCCATAAATCCTCGAATTTCACTGGTTTCCAGAAAGTCTTTGGATCTGTTCTGTTTTGTCATTATAAAGCAAGCGGTTTGCACCAGTTTATAGCTTACACAACATTCCATACAGCATCAAAAAGTGAGCATGCCAAGATCAAAAAACGAAAAGTTCTCAGTTGCAAAACTGTTACAGCCTAATAAAATGATCTTTGATTCAAGCAAGATGCCTCACAGGAACTCAGAAGGGAAGGACCCAAAGTCGAAAGCGGCTTTCTATATGAGTTACATGTCAGTCTGAAGAGCATCAAACGCTGATTCCAAAACTGTTTTTCTTATCTGCCAAGCACCTCTAGGCGCTGAGTTGCGGGCAATTTGGCTCAAAAAATTGGACCTGGAACTGGAACAAATTCTCCAAAATTGTGCAAATGGCCGTGCGTTGAAAATCAGAGCACTTCATGAAAAATCTGTTGTTTGATCTACTCGTATCCAAAGCCTCTTTATGTGAACACCAAAAAGACCACAACTTCCATTTTTAAGCTTTGCTACCTTCGCTCACACTCTAGCTTAGCGTCTAAAGGCGCTTGTCAAAAAGCAGAGACACTTACGGATTCAGCAACTGATGCTTTTCAGATTATTATATACCAGACCGAAGTGCCGCTTCGCGGCACTTCGGTCTGGCCGTGTGTGAAGCGGGATGTGCGTGGAAGTTTGGCACATCGTCTCTTCTTACAGTTAGTCAAAAAGTGGGTGTCTGCAAACATCTGCTAATAGCGAAATCGGAAAGTAAGTAAAATTTCTATAGATTTTCCATGTTGATGTGAATGAAATATACAGCAGAGCTCTTCTTATCTACCCAAATGTTTGTCATATGGAAGATTTACAGCTTTTGCAAAACATTGGCTTGCTGGGTCTAAAATAACCAAATCTGCTGAGATTGTGCAACTTGAACTAAAAGTATGCCATCCAAGTCATCTGGAAAACTTTTTGGAAGAGATTGAAAGCTTTTCTGTCACACTGCGCTGCAACCCCCCCCCCCCCTCCCTGTTTTCAATCCCCCCTGCCCTGAAGGCTTATCATAAGCATATTTTGCTTTCTTTCCGAAAAGTTTCCTTCAAAAAATCTCCACGTTTTCCTAGTTCCTTATTTCTTTAAAATGTGCCACACTAACCATATTCTTGAGGTTTTCAGATTAGATTTTTGTCAAAATCTATGCATACCCAGCGAGAGTAATCTCAACCTTTCAACCCACTTTCCGCTTTTCTATTACTTATTTTCCCCCAAATGAATGTTTTTCGAAAAACCGTGCGCAAACGTCTCCGGCTCCGGCCCCCTTAAGATCAGGGAAAAATCTGACACTCATTCCTTTCATTGAAAATGTCTGAATGTCCTAAATTTATCGATACGTAAATTTAGCAATATCAAAGGTTTGCGCCATATTTTGTTAGTTTCGTTTACCTTTAGACTACATATCAAAGATTACTCTTGAGGCTTTCCACGTCAGGACCGCTCAAAGCTTTGATCTCTGATTTGCTTGGAAACGTGCGTATATCTTTGCCTTTACTGGAGTCAAAGTGCAAATCTCCCTAAGTTACTTACAGTTAGTCAAAAAGTGGGTGTCTGCAAACATCTGCTAATAGCGAAATCGGGAAGTAAGTAAAATTTCTATAGATTTTCCATGTTGATGTGAATGAAATATACAGCAGAGCTCTTCTTATCTACCCAAATGTTTGTCATATGGAAGATTTACAGCTTTTGCAAAACATTGGCTTGCTGGGTCTAAAATAACCAAATCTGCTGAGATTGTGCAACTTGAACTAAAAGTATGCCATCCAAGTCATCTGGAAAACTTTTTGGAAGAGATTGAAAGCTTTTCTGTCACACTGCGCTGCAACCCCCCCCCCCTCCCTGTTTTCAATCCCCCCTGCCCTGAAGGCTTATCATAAGCATATTTTGCTTTCTTTCCGAAAAGTTTCCTTCAAAAAATCTCCACGTTTTCCTAGTTCCTTATTTCTTTAAAATGTGCCACACTAACCATATTCTTGAGGTTTTCAGATTAGATTTTTGTCAAAATCTATGCATACCCAGCGAGAGTAATCTCAACCTTTCAACCCACTTTCCGCTTTTCTATTACTTATTTTCCCCCAAATGAATGTTTTTCGAAAAACCGTGCGCAAACGTCTCCGGCTCCGGCCCCCTTAAGATCAGGGAAAAATCTGACACTCATTCCTTTCATTGAAAATGTCTGAATGTCCTAAATTTATCGATACGTAAATTTAGCAATATCAAAGGTTTGCGCCATATTTTGTTAGTTTCGTTTACCTTTAGACTACATATCAAAGATTACTCTTGAGGCTTTCCACGTCAGGACCGCTCAAAGCTTTGATCTCTGATTTGCTTGGAAACGTGCGTATATCTTTGCCTTTACTGGAGTCAAAGTGCAAATCTCCCTAAGTTATCCCACTCTCCCCCCCCCCTCCTTTCGCATCAAGTTTCTCTACGCTACCCTAACATCTCAATTTTGTGGCATTTCATACCACATTTTTCGTATTTGCAGCATTGGAGACTCCATCTTGCTTTCCTTCAGCTCAAAATGATTTTTGTACCTCATCCAATATGTTTCTGTATTTTGACTGATGTCAAAACTGCGAAACCTTGCTAGCGGAAGCTATCCGGGCTCGCGTTGCTGCTCGCTATTGCGATATTGTAATCTAATGCATAACGAAAACAGCTGGGTAACCTTCCCCCTTCCCAGTTTAGCTTGTCTAGCAAGTCACTTTGCTGGTTAGGCTTCTCGATCAACATCATCTAAGACAGGCGCCACTGCCATCATGAGCCACGGCTCGGTGCATGTGCACGGCACATAACGACAAAGTTGTTTACGTCCTCATCTCGCCTGCGGAAGGGGGGGGGGGTATCTTACATGCATGAGTCATCTCTAGCGCTTTATTATAGAGAGATCTACTTGGAAGCCATTTTCGACTGGGTGTTCTTTTCCCTAGTTATAATCTGCTGGCGTCTTTATATCACAGCCTACTCCATTCTAAAATTCATCTCTCCGACTGGGAAAGTCCAAGCGAACTCAAACAAAGTGGACGATTCAAATTCAAGAAAAATTTCCATTTAACTGGTAATTTTCACAAAAGTTGGACTTTGGAATCCAAAGTTGAACACACATTCCATTGCTTGACGAACGGATGGACCTTATGTTTTGTTTTGCAACCCAGTTATAGATGTGCATGACATGAGACAAGAATTGACTTTATCGTACTTTGTTCTACTGGGCAGTAAAATAGAAAGTGCACGAGTAGAAAAACCATCAGCAAAGAATGACCAAAGTTCCTGTAATTGTAAGCATTACTAGTGACAGAGCTTAAGCACAGTATGTCTCGAAACTCTGGAGGTAGTAAAAAGTAAAATGCTTTTCTTATAAAGTAATTTCATATAACCATGTTATATTTCTATATAACCAGAGTATTGTACTGTAAATGTTCCCGAATATCCGGAAGCGATCAGAGTTGTTTGATCTACTAGTGAAATTTGATAAAAAACGAAATCAACGGCTAAAGTTCACTTGCATTTGAGAAAAGGGCATTAGAAAAGCTTTACGTGCAAGAAGTTGTTGCTGCAAAGATAACTCTGCAAGGTCAACATCAATAAACCGTATAATCTTCATTTAAGAAAAAAATTAACATAGAACAGATAGAAATGACAGAAGACCCGACCCCAAATCAACAATGTGCACGTTCACTTCTCTGCTCCACACAATCCAAGGTTTCCATCGCATGATTTTGCTCCAAAAGCATCGCATTTAGAGCATACCTTGCCAGATTCGTACATTGATTGGCCGACTTTGTTACCTCTAATTAGAATCGCTTTAATTACCTAAGACATTTAGGGTTGCTTTTTGATCCAGATAGATCCGTCTGCAGGTAAATCCGCTTTACAGATGAGTCCTCTTTTCCACTGAATGTTTTACAATTTTTTTACATAATTTCGAAGCAACCTTATCTGTATCGGACTTAGCTCTAAACGGATTTATTAGCGGGAAAGCCCTGTACGTCAGATTCAGGGTAGTTTCGTTTAGAATGTGACTAAGGGCCGCATGCACTAACCTCCCCGCTGGGGAGGGGATCGCAGTTCGAAAGAAAGCATTATATTTCGAATTTCCAGATACCTGGATTTCACGTTGTGTACCTATCCGTAAGTATTCCTACTACTTTTCACTATGAACGTGTTGAAGAGGAGCGAAAAGCTGCACGAACCGCATTTCCCAGCTTTTGTATGATTCCTGATGATCCCCGGCGCCTTTCTTTAAAGTCATTTTTCTTTCTCCGAAGTTAACGAAAACCTTTCAAAGCTGTACTGAACATCTAACACAACAGTGCTAAGCATGTTGCTAATGAGAACAAATGAGTTTTCAAAAAGTCGCATTTTTCGATAAACCTCGAATTTCGACCTGTGGATCATCGAAAATTCCATGACTTCAAAACATCATTCGTTCTTATCACGAACATGCTTAGCACTGTCAGGTTGGATAATCTGCACAACTTTGGAGGTTTTTCGTTAAACTTCGGAGGAAGAAAAATGACTTAAAGAAAAGCGCCGGGGTCATCAGGGATCATACAAAAGCTGGGAAATGCGGTTCGTGCAGCTTCTCGCTCCTCTTCAATATGTTCATAGTGAAGGGTAGTAGGAATACTTACGGATAGGTATACAACGTGAAATCCAGGTATCTGGAGTTTCGAAATATAAAGCTTTCTTTTAAGCTGCGATCCCCTCCCCGCGGGGATGTTAGTGCAGCGGCCCTAAATCTTACGGCGGATAGTAGCGACATGCTTCAATCCAATAGTCACCACATTTGGCAATGGAGCAGCCCATTTCTTTACTTGACGCCCAGCCCATCTTCAAGGAAACATAAATAAATTTAGTACGATATCTAATTCAAAGTAATACAGTTGGTCGGTGGAATCCGGTCAAAATTGCGGGTTTGCGGGACTTGCGATTTAGTTATATCTTTTTCCAAAACAATTTAGTCTGGAATCTGCAAGCAAATTCGGGTTCAGCTTGATGAAACGAATCTTCTAGTATATATTTTGTCCGTTTTCCTTGGTGCATTGTATTGTATTGGCATATGCTGTAAGATTATAACATGTATTGTTGTTCATATGAACAAATTTCAAAAAATAACAAAGTAGTATTATATGCCTACCTCACAATGGACTACGGGCCTAATGTATACCAAAAGATTCGTGTCATCAAGATTCCACCGATACAACTGTATAAGTTATGCTTTTGTCTCACAGTTCCATAATTTTGCTTCCAAGACAAGCGCACTTACTAGGGTGAATGATTTTATCTCCGTGCTGTTGTGTTCGGTAGTAAAGGGGCTTGTTCCAGGTCCCGCAACCTTCCGAACCTGTTTCCACCATTCGGTGACCGCCTGAAAAACCTACTGTTCAAGGTTCTTTAGTCTCAAGCCTACAGTATACCTTTTTATTCATGTCCCTGAATGTTGGCTCGTTTGTAGTACCGTAATAGAAATTTTGCGCTAAGCTGTCATCATCAGGTCTTTTGTAGCCTTCCTTTGGGCAATCTCTGAGAAAATCGTGAGCTTCTCTCTCTAGTGCGCAATCCCAAACCTGTCGACTTCTACAGTTAGGTTACAAAAGTCTTTTGGAGTTGAACTGACTAAATAATTCATGTTGGAGGCGGCGGGTAAAGGTTTTCCCTTATTGTCCGAAATTTGACCCAAGGCGAGCTGCGAGCTGAATATGATGTTGGGATATCTCGAGGCAATATACTAATTCCTCATTTGAATTTGAGTTTGGAGCATAGAAGAACGCACCGTCGGTAATTGTGAGTGTCTTGCATGTGCATTCTCATCGTGTCGGACATTTCCTTCGATGAGCACTTGGTGCTCGGTTCTTCTGGAGAGGTTACGTCACAAGAAAATTTGTTTTTGTTTTTGTGTCAGTTGCATTTATATTCAACTACGGATGGCAAGCAGGAATCAAGCACAAATTGTTCTTTTTCTTGAGAGAAAAGGGAAGGGGTGGCATTTTGCGCAATTTTTAATCAATTCTCAAATCACACTCACGAGGAGTATAGCAAAACTGACAAATCTAATTCATTTCAGTTCAATGCGTTACCGTTAGCGTGGCAAACTGACAAATCCTACTTGTTTTAGTCCGTAGCGTAACTGCTATAAAATCTATACTATGGAAAGATCTGGAGCTTGTTGTATTAGTTATTGACATTTCAAATCTCCAATGTTCTGCTTGACGAGTATAATCACTATTAGACCAACAATTGGCTTACCGTCGAAGGATTCAGGAAATTTGGCTGGGGCGACGCATAGCGAGTCGTCGCTGCACGTCCAGGGTTTATCACATTCGCATTTATCTCCTTTTCGCACTTCATAAATTTCGTCACCATCCTGGATATTGCTGAAAAGTTGCCGAGATATCTTGACGCTTTCCATTCTGCTGTGGTAAGTTTTGGTAGCTGGTCTTTTTGTATTTTGAGTTCCAAGGAGGCACGAAAATTGCCACACTGCGTGCTATCTAGTGTTCGCAATGTTGAAACCGTTCATACATAGATAAATAACGGAAACAATTTATGAAAAATGCTACAGCAGAAACCAAGGACATTTCACTTTTTGAATTTTGAAGCCAATGTCAGCATTCCTATGCTTTTTAGGAGCAGATTGAAAGGTGTTCGCATTGTATAAGCTAATATTAGTTGTTACATAAGTCTTGTTACACTTTAATTTTTTACGACGATAAGTCGTGAACTTCAAAATTTTAATAAGGCTCCAGGGTACCATTTGAAGCAAACTCTACAAGACAGTATGCAAAGTTCGCACCAGCTCCGAACCACCGTAAGTTGGCATCCGGGACGTGAGTCGCTTGTTCAAAAAAATCTTACGAATCTCCGACTTGCTTCTAAAAATTGCACACCACATCAGACACTCACATGTACCATGCTGTATTTTTTCTCATCCTGAAACTGAGAAAACGAAAATTTTCTTGTTTTTACAAAAACGGAGCTATGCTGTTTCTATTCGTGTAGCTGTATACTACAAGACACTAGAAGTATAACCGTAAATTTTCAGCTTTCCAGAAGCACTAGTTTTCGTAGAATACCAAATTAAGCTTCTCTCACTCTGGTGTTCGATGCTAAATTAGGTAGTTTTCGAAAACTAGGGCTTCTGGAAAGCTGAAAATTTACAGTTATACTTTTAAGGCTTGTGGTAAAAAATTACATGAGTGAAAAAGGGTAGCTCCGTTTTTGTAAAAACAAGAGAATTGTCGCCAAAGTCGTCTATGAGAAGTTTTACCGGTGTCGCCAACGATGCTGTAGATTGTACATACTGTATATCTATTATTGTTCATTTGTGTTCGTTTTGCGTTACATCGTGGTGGTTAGAAGAGTCCCACGAGGATCAGCCGGACAAGTCATTGCAACCTCACTTCCATCACCTTATCAGTGCTATCTTCAGTCAACAATGACTTCGCAAATAAACAAGTTCAAGGGTATAAATACCGATGGATGAGTGAGGTCGACTCCGGCTCACCAAGAGGATTCTCTCTACAAGTAGTTCGCTGTGAGAACGACAAATCTTCGATAGACAATCTTCCTCCACAAGTCTTCTCTGGGTAACATTAGATCCAGCAAGTATCTGGACCAGGAGCATCAAATCTCCTGTGCACCAAGAAGTCTCTGAGGGATCACAAGTATCTTGGGAAGCAGTCCAAAGATTGACACGTCTCTAGAGGACACTTTATACATCTACATCTTTATCGTTTGTAATTGTATCACAATAAAGCTTCATTACTCAAGTCTGAGATACCATACAGACGCGCGTGGCAACACTTGAGCAGCCTCACCACTAACCATGTCTTTGCTACATGGTGTATCGGACTGCCACGCAGGCGGCCTGGAAATTGAACCCGGCCCACCCGCGTGGCAGGCGAGCATTCTACCACTGAGCCACCGTGTTTCCTGGCCGATACACTGTAGCAAAGGGATGTTTAGTGGTGAGGCTGCTTTAGTGTTGCCACGCGGGTCTGTATGGTACCTCAAACTTGAGTAATGAAGTTTATTGTGATACAATTACAAACAATAAAGAAGATGTGTGAAGTGTCTCCAGAAACGTGTCAATCTTCGGACTGCTTCCCAGGATATTTGTGATCCCTCAGAGACTTCTTGGTGCACAGGAGATTTGATGCTCCTGGTCCAGATACTTGTTGGTTCTAATGTTACCCGGAGAAGACTTATGGAGGAAGATTGTCTATCAAAGATTTGTCGTTCTCACAGCGAACTACTTGTAGAAAAAATCCTCTTGGTGAGCCGGAGTCGACCTCACTCATCCATCGGTATTTATACCCTTGAACTTGTTTTTTTGCGAAGTCATTGTTGACTGAAGATAGCACTGATAAGATGATGGAAGTGAGGTTGCAATGACTTCTCCGGCTGATCCTCGTGGGACTCTCCTAACCACCACGATGTAAGGCAAAACGAACACAAATGAACAGAACCTTCAAGCTTTAGTAACAGTGCAATTCTATAACAGTTAGTGTATACAAAAATCCTGAGTTTCGGGAAGATAAATATCAAGAATATAGGACACCTAAGTACACCACACATTGGACCTTACTATTAATTTCGAAACGTTCGACTAGCGCAGCGGTTGGGCTGTGTTCTACGTTATTCAGAATTTGCGGCATTGAATTAATTAGGTTGTCCCAAAAGTTCTGTCGTTTCATTTTTGAAAATGTAACTTTTTGCTGTCTCAACGGATTTGCTTCTTTCTAATTTCATTAGAAAGAAGAAGTCATTGTCTTTGTAGAGTTATCTCGGGAGCTTCAACTATACATTCACTTCAGAGACAAATTGGAGAAAGAAGACCTTTTAACTTTGACCATTTTAAGTTAGGTCGCCAAAAGTAGTCTGGGACGGTGCAGAAATATCTGAAACTAGCTGGCTTACCCGGCTCCGCCGTATCCGGACCAAACTTGGCACACATACACTTCGGACCCCGGCGGGTGTCACAGTCCACTTTTCGTTATCGATCGATGTCGATTTTACCGATTTTTATCGATTTTTTTGCAGATTTCACCTACAGGGCTAGGAGTTGGCACAGGGGGGAAGTGAGCATGGGGATTACGAACACAATATTAGTTTTCAGGATCGTCCATTACTTTTATCGATTTTATCGATTTTTTTGTAAAGTTTGACCTGCCGGGCTGGGAGTTTGCACAGGGGGGTAATCGAGCATGCAGATTACGAACACAATATTAGTTTTCAGGATCGTCCATCACTTTTATCGATTTTATCGATTTTTTTGTAAAGTTTGACCTGCGGGGCCGTGAGTTTGCACAGGGGGGTAATCGAGCATGCAGATTACGAATACAATATTAGTTTTCAAGATCGTCCATTACTTTTATCGATTTTATCGATTTTTTGAAAATTTGAGCTAGGGGGCTGGAATTTGGCACAGGGGTGCAATCGAACATGCTGATCACCCCCCTTGGGGGTGATCAGCATGCTCGATTACCCCCCTCTGCCAACTCCCAGCCCCCTAGCTCAAACTTTGCAAAAAAATCGATAAAATCGATAAAAGTAATCGATAATCCTGAAAACCAATATTGTATTCGGAATCCCCATGCTCGATTACCCCCCTGTGCCAACTCCCAGCCCCGTAGGTGAACTCAGCAAAAAAATCGATAAAAATCGATAAAATCGATATCGATCGATGACGAAAAGTAGCCTATGACACCCGCCGGGGCCCGTAGTGTATGTGTGCCAAGTTTGGTCCGGATCGGTTCAGAAATGGAATTTTCTATTCGGAACATACGTACAGACAGACAGACATACAGACATACATACAGACATACAGACATACAGACATACAAACAGACATTCAGCTTTATATATAAGAAGATTGTCAGTATAAGTTTTATGACCTACTCTTTGCATCTGAGAAAATGTGCTTTTGGGACGTTGCAATGAAAAGTTATGATTTTCGAGAAACGTTACAAATTAATCAATTTTGGTGTTTTCTATTGAAAACTTGAAAATTATAACTTTTCACAAAGACGTCCAAACAGCACAGTTTTTTCTCAGACGCAGAGAGTAAATCATAAAACCTACACACGGACAATTTCAGATTTTTCTGCGGTGTTTCAGATTTTTGGCGACTTAACTCAAAATCGTCAATGTGGTCTTCTTTTTCCATTTTTGTTTCGGCAATGAATGTATAGTGGAAGCTCATCAAAACACGCGTGCAAAGTGGAAGACTTTTTCTTTCCAATAGAATAAAAAAGTAGTAAATCTGTCAAGATGACAAAATGTTACACATTTTCAGAAATGAAACGACAGAACTTTCGGGACAACCTAATATTATGGTTTCACAAATAATAATTTAAAAAAACCCGTCTTGTGTTTTGAATTGCTTAGGGATTGGATAATAATGCAATTTCTTGATGAACCTCCTTGAAGGAAAGCTGATAGTTGTCATTTGAATTATACAGTAAGATATGTACTACCTTTGGTCCGTGAGACACAAATCTATGTAGAAATCGTCGCCTTCTTCAGTGGTGCAATTCCTGATTGCGCAACCTATTCTAGAAGCACTACCACGCATTAGCTAAAAAATGGGTTTGTAATATCTTCGATGAGCCTTTTGATGCAAATGTGCATACGTTGACGTAGTTAATTAGATATCCATCGTTCTTCGTGTACTTTACAAGTTGATCTTTGATGAAGTAGGAGAAATCAATAAGATCCACCTTTTCTAGCTCGTCTGGGAGGCTATTCGACAACGGCTCGTACATTGCCACAGCGGACCTAAAAACTCAGATAAGTTGTCGCTAGCAGTGCAAGACGATTATCTGCGAAAGCAAAATAATTGCAGTAGACCAATAAGTTAAGATTTTGATGTTCACAAATTCGGAGCTTTACAACACGTCTCTTCTGACATAGAGGAAAGAAAGGACGGATTTGCGGCAGCACACCTAGCCTTTGAAGACACATACCCCCAAAAGTAATATCCCTTATCAGGTTCATGCTCTGCCAAGTCCAAGGTGCACATATCGGCCAAGTAATTCTTAGCTTCATGTTCAAGCATGCAGTCATACCCCTGAATCAGTGCAAGACAATTGATAGCTTTATAATGAAGCAACAAGCACTCCTTACGATCAGCATGATCAATACCACAAACCTGATCACTTTTCAGAACAAGAACTGAATGTTCTTCAATCTTTGTTTTCTTAAATCTTTCCGTTATGTCAAATCTGTTTGCTATCGAATGCGAATGCCAGAGCTCGTAGATGTTGTGGTCAAAAATGATTTTAGGCATTCTCGATCTTTGATGATGACGACTTTAGGACATGCTTTTAATTTCAATGGCTCAAAAACAACTGGCAAGTTCTTAGCATGGTGGTGTTATAAATCAAAAGTATCAATATCTCGGTGCCCTAGACATCTACGCTAGATCGAACTACAAATGGCATTATTTAGGCGGAACTAACCATTTTTCTCATATTTTTTGCTGGGGGAAGGTAGTCGTCCTTCAATCCATTTCTTTGCGACCCAGTAGCCAACTTGTTTCGTCGATCATTGATGACAGTGAGTATTTGGCTGACCTCCTTCACCGTCATTCCGCCATTTTTACAGTACTCAGAATCTGAATTGAGTAAACTTCATCCTAAGGGATGTATAAGAGAGTAATGACTTTTTTTGTCTAGAGGAAGATTAACCAAAGCAGGTACGATCTTTGATACCCTTCTATAACTCATGAAATTCTCTAATGTCAGAAAGGCTCTAGTATGAAATGAAAATGCTTGCAGTCAAGCTGTTTCTTCAGTAATAATCGAGCGATAATTACGAAAAAGGAGATAGATTGTATGCTTCTGATTGAAACTGAAGACTATTCAGAAGTGAAGATATTTTAGGCTTATAGAAGTCACCATTTAGTTTGTGCGAACTTCCATCTTTGATACGGCCATGATGCTAAACGGTATTAGCAAGAAGGTTTAGCGGATCGGAAAAATACAAGTTAGAGCTGGATAATACCTAGCTCGAATGCTTAGTGAATAAATTTTCAAAGATTTTGTAAAAGTGATACGCTATCACAATTAGACCAGCGCTGACTTGGAAAGAAAGTTTTGCGTGAAGTAGCGAGATTTGAAGGATAACCGTCTAATATTATGCTTTTCTCTTCCGTTTAACTTCAAAAGACGACCACTCATTGACTCGAAACGACATAACTACGGAACTTCCCCACTTTGAATTCAACAATGAGATAAGTATGACTTGCTCATGTTTTTAGTAACAAGTTGTCTACTTGCAGTGAAATGCAAATACATATGTGACTACCTGAGAAAAGAATCTTCCACATGCTGGCGGAATATGATGAACTAGCTCAGAAACAACCAATTAGACACATAAAATACTAACAAGGGAAGCTATTATACTCAGGGCTCGGCACAGGTGGCTTGCAAAGCAAGCTGGATATCGTTTTTGGGGGAAAAAGCAAAGGGGATATCGTTTTTGCGGAAGAGCATAACGCTGTCTTTCGGTCTGCTGCCGGCACGCTGCCGGCATGCCGCCAGCAAATGAACAAAGGGTCTGTTTACAGCGAAGTGAAGATGAAATGGCACCAAAATAGGTGTGTAGATGGGCAATGGGGAGTTGGGACTATGTATGAAAAATTATGAAAAAATTATGTGAACTAAGGGCATGACAAACTTTTTTTAGGGTTAGGTGGCTTTCAAGCCACCTGGATAGCCAGCTGAGGTGGCTTAGCGCAAATAAAGTCATATAATTCCTATTCCTCACATAATTTTTTCAAATTTTTTACATATAAGTAATCTACATTCAATATTCTACAAAACAGCTCTTGTACCTCCTCGAACCCTCTCCTCCCCGCCTAGTTATAGCCCTCCAAATTATCTAGAAGGCAGCGGCAAAGGTGCTCCAAGCTCGCGGTGGTGCGCGGCGGACACAGCATGCCGCCAATCCGGATAATACAAACAATCATCGGTTCTTATTGTCTATTTTTTGTCGGTTTTCTATCCTATTTCATCCTTTTTGTTTTCATTTTTGATTTGTATGTATGTAACGTGTCACGGGGGATGTCGTACTTTTGTGGCGGAGTCAAGTTGGACTTCGTTTTTTGCATTTTCAACTAGCCACCTCGTGCCGAGCCCTGATTATACTTGGGTCCGAGTCGAATAGAAACTCGATCATTCGAATAAAACATTCGAATATATTCGCATTCGAAATTCGATATTCGGAGTTCTTCCATTTTCGAATAATATTCGAAACTCGAATAATTGAAAAAACGGGGTTTCGAATAAAATTCGAAAACTCGAATAATCAAAAAACGAGGTTTCGAATATTATTCAAAAACTCGAATAATCAAAAAACGAGGTTTCGAATATTATTCGAAAACTCGAATAATCAAAAAACGGGGTTTCGAATAGATTTTTTTCGAATGTTTTATTCGAATGTTTATTCGAAATCGTTTTCGAATGAACTCCCGTGCAGATCAGTTGAGTTTGTTGCAGAGCCAACCGCTGAGTAGCTCGCTTAGTCTGCGTTTTTCTTGCAAAACTTGGTAATGCATTTTTTTGCAGCCGGGATCACCTTTGAACTGTATAAGCTGCATTCCTCCAACTGCTGACAGTAAAAAAATTAGATGTAATCATATTCATTTTAATTGATGTTATTGGCACCAAATCGGCAAAAAAGCTGTCAAATTCAAGCTCATGTCCCGAGTTCATGTACTGGAAATGAGTTGACATGCCTGTTCCTCTTCCTTTGCATCGCTCTGCTTTTGGTACGCAAAGGTCCCCATTAGTGAGCACATTTGCTTGTAACATTCATATTGCACAACTTTCTCTATTCTTTACCTTAGAGATCTTTCGCGAATTGGTGTTGAGCAAAGGGCAGCGCAGCTGTGGTGGATTAGGCGGTTGCTGGATTTTGCTGTCATATCACCTTGCAATAAAGTTTTCTTCAGTGAATAGTACAGGATAGTTCTTTTATCACAGTGCATCCAAGATTCACGGAGGCTTTCAGGTACTTCAACACCTGGAGCTATCAACCTATCAACTATGGTAAAGGCTTGGGCCGGACGAAGAAAGTCCACATTGAGAGCGAGCTTTGATTATGACAGGCCCCACACATACTGCACGCGATAGTCGTATGCGATTTGCCAATTACAAGATGTCTTCAAATGTAACGAAACTTACCACAATTGTATAGCGTGTACAACTTTCTATTATAAATGAATAAATGCCCTGCCCTTTGTACTTTTAGAATCCGCCTACGTAAGTTTTGGACAATTTCTCAGACAAATCACCGGAACTTCCGCAGGACAAGCCCAAATTTGCAGAAGATCCGCAGGATTTTGTTCACTGTTGCAGAAATGAAAACCTTGAAGATCGGAAGATCATTTTCATGCCGAACTGGTTGAACCGGAAATTCCGCAGAACCATCTGCAAAATCCTGTGGAAATTCCGAAAGATGCCAGAGGTTCCGCAGCACTTTGACATGCCAGAACTTCCACAGGACTTTGAATGTGTTGTCTCGTGTTGTTGCCTCGCCAACAACTAGAGTGTATCATCGAACATGTCAGACGTAGCTTAGAGGATAGAAGTTGGGTCTCACATTTAATAGAGTGAGGTTGGAATCTCGCTTTGGTGTTCTCTTTTGCTGTTGTGGTTGCCATTCTTCAAAACTTCCGCAGGACCTCATTTCGGAACTTCCGCAGCACGTTTACGGAACTTCCGCAGGTGACCCGGCGCAACTTCTGCAAGTGCTCTGCGGAAGTTCAGGTCATTTGTCTGAGTTGACTATAGACAAATCACATCGCTACTGAAATGCCTGCAGTACGCTCGCGGCTATAGGGGCATTCTTGCTCGCTTCGCGAAGTAAAACATGCCTTCGCCCACGACTAATTTATACTACACAAGACGAAAGTATCCAATAAACAGGTATGGTATCGTCGCATTTGTGGCATATAAGTACAGTGTGGCCGCCGTTACTTGCGCGCCTTCCCCCCCCCCCCCCCCCCCGAGAATGGGCGAAATTCTTGAAAGTTACTCAAATGTGTTAGAAAATGTGCAGGGGATTTACTTGGGGTCAGGGACCCAAAAAGAAGATTCATCCAGCATTTTCTGCTTCAAAATGTATGAAAAGTTGTAATGTTTGGAAAAACTGCCTTTTTATCAGTTCTCAAGCATTTGTTTGACTCGGATGAAGGTCCTAGGCTTCGCCGAGCCTTTGCAGTGAATATGTGAAAAGCGCAGGAGTCAACATGGCGTAGTCGCTGGTATTGATAGACGAACCTCAACCTCACCTCCAGGTAGACGAGTTTTTGAACCGAAAATTGAGTTTTAAAGCTCGAAAAGCTCTGTCACGTGCCCAGCACGTCGCCTGTACAACGATAGACTCGCGCGCATAGCTTGAACGTCATGGCAACTCTCACGATTTTGGTTCCGCCTTAAACGCCTTTTTTTCCAAAAATGAGTGTTGCACTCTGTCTGATCACGACACACTCTGACGTCTCGATCGAGCGGAAAACCGCTCAAAACTTCGAAATTCTAGTATATCTGACAGTTTAGTAAAATTTGACTTGATGAGGAGTTCAAAGCAGTGAAATTTGGAGTCTTGTGAGATACACTGCGCACAACCGAGCTGCAGACAGAGCGTTCTAAGTTCAATGCTGCAAATACGTTTTTGTAAAAAGTCTGATAGCTTCTGCATGAGTACGTCACCATGCAAACAAGGTGTCAACTTCCAACCGAAAATTTTCGCGCGTCAGAAATCGAGTTTTGCGTCACAGAAGCGTGCTTACCCCTCAATAAGATGAGGCTCGTTTATCGATATCAGCGATTACGCCATGTTCTCAAGCTTTTTATCATACTCATTGCAAAGGCTCGGCAAAGCCGAGGACCTTTATTTAAGTCAAACAAATGCTTGAAAATTCGGGGGAAGGGCAGTTTTTCCAAACATTACAACTTTTTTAGATTTTGAAGCAAAAAATGCAGAATAAATCTTTTTTTTGAAAAGGCGACTGCTTGCAAGTATAGCGAATGTTTCACATTTTGTTGTTGTATATGAACAAAAAATTTCGGGTTCAAAGAACATAGTACTGGTTAGAAATTAGAGGTGGCTTTATAGCTGTGACCAGCCTTGGGAACCCGTTTTTCCACATTTTTCAGTTCTTCTCCGGCCAAAATCAATGAAATTGGGAGCCGTTCTGGTCAATGATAAGACTTATCTCCACACAGGATAGTAGTTTTTCAGGCAATTTCGAACAAGAGAAAGCAAATTACAGTGATTTTTGGGGTGGCTTTATAGCTCTGGCCAGCACTATAGAAGCTACCTAACTTAGCTCGATCTTTTGGCAAAGAACACATATATTCCGAATCAGCTTTAAACGCTGATTGTAAATATGCTATTCTTAGCTGCCACACACCATTCCGAAGCAAGTTATAGGCTTTTTCCTGCGCAAAATTGGCATACTCACCGACTCACTGGCATCAGGCATCATCATTCAAGGTGCTAATACACCTGCATTAAGGTTCTTTTTAGTGAGAACAGATTGCATTTGTGTTATTTCAATATTTCAGAGTTTTTTCTTGCAGATTTCTATCTACAGGCTGTCTTCCCATGCTCAGTAGTATGCCAATTTTGCGCAACAAAAGCCCATAACTCGCCTGGAATGGTGCATGGTAGCTGGGAATAGCATATTTGGAATCAGCGTTGAAGCTGACAGAATATGTTTTTCCCTTGCCATAAGGTCGAGCTAAGTTAGGTAGCATTCCTTATAAGCTTACATGCTCTTGAAAAATTTCTGATAGGCATTTCAGAAAAAAACAAGGATTCTCGCAAGACTTCTTCGATACACCATTTGTCCAACACATAGAGAATGCTATTTTGAATAGAAAAGACTTTTTTGCTCTCAACTTTAATCAACAGTTGTTATTTACATAACCGAGTCAACATCGCAAGTTATCTACCCTGAGACATTTTTCTAAAAAAAAAAACAAATCAAGCAGACGGCGGAGCAGGCCCAGTTGCAGTTTAGTGCTTAAGAATCAAAACAAACCTCGATAATTTCACAATTTGTTTGTGATTCATTCTCTCGAAATCAGCGAATCAAAAGATCAGTATAGATGTTATCCAGTAATTGTAATGTTCTAATTATGCGCATTGAATTCGCCATAGGTTGCCTCAGTTTTCATAAAAAGCTAATCAGAAACCGAGCAATTCGTTTGTACTTTCGGAGGGCATTTACTGCCAATTTTACGCGAGTACATGCCGCAAGCCTAAAAGAATTCTGAGGGCTTCTCTTCGTTTTACATGGTTGAACTGGCCTAGCATTTTCCCAAAGTAAAGCTAAGTCACCTTCATCCGAAGCAGCCGATATGGGTAGTATGAAACAGATCTGGAAAGAATTGTTAGTCGCTAAGTTAGGGATTTAAGACAAAACATACCAAAGTTGCAAGATATTTCAGCCCAGACATGTTGAAGGTACTGGCTCACTGCTCTCTTCCTTTTTATATGCAGCCACTTCCAAGGAACAGCCCTCTGCAATTTCAACGCTTTTTGCTGCATCATAAAGCCAACATTTGGATGTTCTCATAACTTTGGTGGCAATGACTTGTGATATGAAATCATGGCATAGATGGAAACCTTTGAAATGACGCCGATATTTAGATTCAACTACGACTGACAGCTTTCTTAGTGCTAAATGAAGCCAAACATCGGCGAAATACAAAAACAAAGCTGTATATTGCCCATCTCATGAAAACTTGGAAGAAATTGACTAAGAATTTTAGAATTTCAGTGACATTTTTGCCCTTCGCAACAACTTTGATTCTCTATCGAAATTCTTAAGATTTTGTCACTTTCGCTAGAGCTGAAGTGATCACATCATGCACAGTAAGACTAATATTATCGTCAGAAAAAATGTGCGAAACTGCGAAATACATAGATTGAGTTAAGTGGCAACTGAGTTTTTTCATACTTTTCTTTTTGAATGTGCGCACTTGAATTTTTGAATAATTTGGATTACGATGCATGTTATACATACAAAGTATATGAATTCTCGATAACAAGATAGAAAATTTTTCAGGCAGATTCAAAAGAAATGGTAAAATTTCGGGTTTTACGATTTCCTCAATCAGTCAATTTTCTCAGTCAGTCCGTTATCACACCAGCTATCGTCGAGTCATTCGTAACTGCCTAGTGCACACTAAACACGCTAACGGACGAACAGCAAAACTATAATCTGTTCATTTCCAGAGATTTCTGCTTGTTTCTTTGTCTTTTTTGTTTTTGTTGATTACAAGCTAGTCCATAGAACACATTTTTACACTTTGTTAGACTAAAAAACATTTTACCGGAAAGTTACCAGTAAGGGTGCCGTCGCTAATAGGACTTAGTGTGCAGTCTCACATATTAAGTTACAAATGACTCGAGGTTAGTTTTGTGATGCACCACTGTGCTGAGAAAGTACTCTCAGCTTTGAAAGATTCTATATTTTCAACTTTGTTAAAACGGCTTCAGGCACCTTTTGACAGAGCAAAGCAAACACTTAGAAAATGTTTTTTAATACTCCATGTAAAATTTAATTCTAATGTCAAAGTTCTTTGGTTACGCCGGATTATCACTTTCAGCTTATATATATATATATATATCAGTGGCGTACCGAGGGGGGGGGGGGGGGGGCGCGCCTCCCCCCAAGAATGGGTCGCGAAATTTTTGAAAGTTACTTATATGGGTTATAAAAATGTGCAAGTGACTTGTTTATTCTTGTAAATAATTAAAATAAGTTTTAAAAATTTTTAAAAATTCTAATTAGCCTTGTAAAAAAATCTTTTTCTGGGGCGTGGCTGACGCCACGCCCCCTTTTTCCAGATTTTAGGGGTCGGGAACCCGCAAAAGTTTTTAGAAGCACCCCAAAAATTTTTTCGGAATGCGTGGCTAACGCCACGCACCTTCTTTGGAAAAAAATTTTTGTCGCGCCCCCCCCCCCCCCCCCGAGCCGAAAGCTCGATCAGCACAAACTTAACTCACTTAGTAATTAAATAAAAGAAAAATTAGAATAATGGCTTTTCTGGATTTTATCGCGCAGTTTCTAGATTTTTGGAATTGTTTCTCAAAAATTCCGAATTTCGGATGTTTTCGTTCTTTCATTTTTATCTCTGCAATCTGAACAAGCTGGAAAGTCGCCAAAGGACTATTGGAAACTACATGCTTTACGCTTTCTAATAAAGCTTAAATTGCGCAAAATCGTTGTGACGGAAAGAAGTTGTGATTTTTTGAAAATAGTGCGAACGAACTTTCGAACCAACCTAATATATATATCTAAGATATTCTTATAAAGAGTTGATGGTCTTTTCCGTGGCTAAACTGGCAAGCTTAAGAGAAAGATTCTGGACTGCATTTCTTATATAATTATGCAGTACACCTTAGAAATATAACCGTAATAGCTTTATCTATGCGATATTAGAGACATACCAAGAGTATAAGAGACCCATATCCACATATTTCATGCATATTGAATCTCTTGTCTCGATCAAAATGTCCAACAATTCTTTATTGATGTCTGACGAAAAATTCTATGTTAGGTTGGAAACTAACAATAAGTTTCTCGGCTCATTCAATAACTTTTCTCTCTCTCAAAATCAAGCACTAAAATTTTGCCATTACGTAGGTTATGATGTAAGCTAGAAGAGTAGCTGCTGTTCTGCCAAATTCTGTCGTCGCAGCGAGAGTTACGGTAGGTACCTTATACATAAAGCTGAAAGTCTGTTTATATGTCTAACTATCTGTCTGTCTGTCTGTCTGTATGTGTGTACGTATGTTCCGAATAGAAAATTCCATTTCTGAACCGATCCGGGCCAAACTTGGCACACATACACTTCGGTCCCCGACGGGTGTCATAGGCTACTCCTCGTCATCGATCGATGTCGATTTTATCGATATTTATTGATTTTTTGCAGACTTCACCTACGGGGCTGGGAGTTGGCGCAGGGGGGTAAGTGAGCATGGGGATTCCGAATACAATATTGGTTTTCAGAATTATCGATTATTACTCTTATTGATTTTATCGATTTTTTGTAAAGTTTGGCCTGCGGGTCTGGGAATTTGCACAAGGAGGTAATCGAGTATGCTGATTAGGAATACAATACCAGTTTTCAGAATTATCGATAACTTCTACTGATTTTATCGATTTTTTTGCAAAGTTTGAGCTACGGGGTTGGGGGGTTAGTGAGGAAGGTAGGTGAGCATACTGATTACTAACACAGCGGGAGCAGGGAATTGCACAAGTGAGCACAGGTAAAGGTGTACAGGGATAGAAATGGAACCTTTATCTTGTAAGATTTTATATGTTCTCTGGTCATGAAACCTGGGCATTGTCCTGTATTCATGAACTTTCTTGTAAGCCACGCAGGTTTGTTAAGATATTTATTAGGTCTAACGTTTCGGCAATAATGCCTTCCTCAGAGACCTGAAAGAAAGGCCCGTAGTAAACCTCCGTCATCCTAGATCAGCTGCGGCGGGCCTCAGTTGACGTTGCGGCGCCTTAGCGCAGTGTCAAGCGAGCCATCGATTCGGATGCGGATCGTTTTGTAGGCATGATAAAAACTGCGTGTAGTCAAAGAAAAAACAGGTCAAGAGATTGTGCAGGTTTGGTCAAGTGGCTAAAGCTAGTGTGATGCACGCGGCAGCGCCGGGGTTCGCGACCGGCAGGTGCTGACCTTTTTGCTATATCGCCGGGGCAATCTTTGATAGCAACCACTATCAAAAAAATCGATGGTGGACGCTGTCTTTGCTGCGCAAACGAAGACATAAACCGGATACAATAATTTAGCATCAAGATTCATAAAAAAACTGTGATTTTTGGAAGAGAAAAAGGGGAATTTCATTTCTATGTCAAGCATTTTTCGAAAAATGTAAAAATTTGATCAACATAGCCCAAGCTGACACGAAATATGTAGAAAAAAATTGTTATCCCATTTTTGCTGCGATCAGCTGTTCATTGATCATCCCCATCCGTATGTTACCATATTTGTGCAATTTCGGGCACTGTCGTCTGCAGAATCAGCCAGCTGACGTTTCCCGTAAGTTACTCACGAGCAACTTACGGGATTTGTGTCTGCGTCTCCTTGCAGACACGCTATCTCCGTAAGCCACGCCAACGGCGACAGTTTAGCTTAGGGCAGGCAGCGCAGCTCATTGCGGCAGCTGACCGGCCGCTTGGCTGTCATCCCAGCGTCTATTCTTAATGCACTGTAGCAAGGGGGATCGTCAGATTAGCTTACGGATCTCTTCTGAGGGGGTCATCGCAGATCATCTGAGCTGAGAGGGGATTTACTACGGGCCAAAGTCTCACACTAGTTTTTGCCTTATATGATCAAATCTCTCCTCTTGAAAAGCCTAGTTCAACGCCCTAGGAGTAAACAAGCGGAGACATTACACGACAAGTAGCATAACAAGATCTCCACTGACAGCGCAACTACGACGTTCAAACTCCACTAGTGTTAAAAGACTATAGCTGACCGATATGGACAGCTTAAATAGTAGTGGAGACAATATCTATAAGTGACAGTATGACAGAAATGGCATGAAGTCACTTGTGATGGAGAGCTGTTCATTCTTCCCGTTAAGTTTCGGTTCGCGCGAGAGAATGTATGCCGCTTCAAGCGCTTTGCGAGCAGCGATTCTTGTCTCATAACCTGAGATGATGCACCTGATATCGAAGTCGTTGCCGTGATGATCTACTTTCCTGTGTTTCCCTAGCGGACTGGCCATGCTTTCCCGCCTCTTACTCGCCAAGTATTCATTGACACGCACGCTGAGTTGCCGACCAGTTTCCCCTATGTAGGTAGCGTGGCATGCCAGACATTCAATCTCGTAGACGATGCCAAACTTAGCACAGTCTCCCATTTTTCCGCTAGGGCAAGTGACGCAATCCTTCGTAATACAAGCTGTATCGTATAAACGATTACGCACTAGTTGTCGCTTAATGTTGCTTCGAGGGATATTCACGAGAATAACATCTTGCTCCAACTGAGCTTGTACTATACATGTTTGAAACGCGTGCTTTACTCTATCGGAAATAAATGGTAAGCATAATGGAATTCTGGCACCAGCTTGGCGATCTTCAGCATTTGCTGTAAACGTTCTAGAATGTCTGGGTTTTGATGAGGAGTAGTCTTAACTGCAATATCTTCAAATGTTCAAACACTTACTATTCACAGTTGAGAGGGTTGGCAATGGGCCAAAGGTTAGCACCTACGCTAGCCATCTGCTTCATGAGCAGAATAGAAAGACCGGTGCTACTACGATGCCCACTTATGTACTGTCGATATATTGACGATTGTTGCATTATAACATCAACACAGTCCGAAATGGACGAGTGTAGTGGACGAGCGCTTGAAGCGGCATACATTCTCTCGCGCCAACCGAAACTTAACGGGAAGAATGAGCAGCTCTCCATCACAAGTGACTTGATGCCATTTCTGTCATACTGTCACTTAGAGATATCGTCTCCACTACTATCTAAGCTGTCCATATCGGTCAGCTATAGTCTTTTAACACTAGTGAAGTTGAACGTCGTCGTTGCGCTGTCGGTGGAGATCGTGGTATGCTACTTGTCGTGTAATGTCTCCGCTTGTTTACTCCTAGGGCGTTGAACTAGGCTTTTAAAGAGGAGAGATTTGATCATATAAGGCAAAAACTAGTGTGAGACTTTTTTCAGGTCTCTGAGGAAGGCATTATTGCCGAAACGTTAGACCTAATAAATATCTTAAGAAACCTGCGTGGCTCACAAGAAAGTTCATGAATACAGGAACTTTCATCGTTTTTGACAGGGTCGTGCGGAGCCGGGTAAGCCAGCTAGTATGATAAGAGAGGAATTATAAAATTTGACAGATTTGACTGAAACTTGGTTTAATGGAAATACCCGAATGCTGATCACGAAAACGATATGGAAGTTGCATGATAAGGGCTTTTTGTAATATAAGTGTAGGTTTACGATATATGGTCTCACCCTAAACTTTTAGATTGGCGGGTCAAATAAGCTTGATACGTGAAATTTAGGTGAATTTTGAGGTTCTGACTCCTTGGACTGGCGAAGCAGCGGAGCCGGGTAGGTTTGCGCACAGTTCGACACAACACACACACAAATTTCTTTTTTTACTATTACTTAATTTTTTTGCTGAAAGCTCCACAGATATTCAAATCTGTCTCAAAGCTTTATTTTGTTGAAATTTCAAGACTTCCGAAGTTTGAATAGATCGTCCAAACCTTCTCTATTTCTGAGCGAAGAAGTTGCAAAATGGAACACTTGCGGCAAGGTGCGATTTACACCAAAAAAATTCAATTATTTCTCGTTACAGAAAGGAGAGGAACCCGAATTCAGCTTCAGTCGCGCGGAGAAGAAAATGACATCCGATAAGTGGAAATAGGACATTTTCCCATAATACCATCTTCTCCTTTAAGCGCATCTTAACGTTTGTAAATAAATGGTTATCTTTGCCTTAATCTTATTCTTCCATTCTCTTCCATCAGTGTAAAATTGTTTTTTAATTCTTAATATCTGCCTATTTTTCCTAACCTTATTCGGTTATGCATACATTTTGATTAATGTTGATTATCATTTTATATAATGCCTTTATAATTTCGTGCATAATCATTTAAGCTTCATTTTTCTTTATCGATTCTTAGCCTAAACAATCTCCTAATGTGCATTTACCACCGCCTATTGTGATTCTAATTATGCATATATTTTGATTAATGTTGATTATCATTTTATATAATGCTTTTATAATTTCGTGCATAATCATTTAAGCTTCTTTTTTCATTATCGATTCTTAGCCTAAACAATCTCCTAATGTGCATTTACCACCACCTATTGTAATTCTAATTATGCATATATTTTGATTAATGTTGATTATCATTTTATATAATGCTTTTATAATTTCGTGCATAATCATTTAAGCTTCTTTTTTCATTATCGATTCTTAGCCTAAACAATCTCCTAATGTGCATTTACCACCACCTATTGTGATTCTATAGGGGTCTGCATAAAACGATACACTGCGCCATTTGTTTTTCGATAAAACTATTTCGCTGTCCACGTCTCTTAGCATCTCGAAAGTTTGAAAATATTTTCAGATCAAAGTAATGATGGCTTACAAAAAAGCGAAAAACTAGTACTTCAAAATGAAGGATATGGAAGAAACGGATCGCGAATCAAAAGCGAAAACCGCAAAGTGCGGAACTCCAATTAGTACTGCGGAAACCCTGTACCCTGAGATTGCAGCGTTTCCGCAGCGCTTTCGCAGGATTTCGCCGGGTCACCTGCAATCCTGCGAAAGCGCTGCGGAAGTTCCGGACGGTTGTCTGAGCGCATGGAGAGATCAGTGAAATATCATATAGGGTTGTTTGTAAAATGTCACCTGCTTCGGGTTTCAACTTCGATTCGCCAAACCTCTTAGGAACATACCCTCGATACATAGAGCCACGTACTCTGGTAACCTTCACTTTGAGGACTAAGGGGGGACAAAACCTTCACCTGAAAAAAAAAACAGAAGTCATCCGGGGCAAAGCTCCGGATGTTATTATCCTGACTATGTCGGAGAATGTTAATGAAGCAAATATAGGAAATGATTACTTTAGCTTATCTCAGCAAAACCGAGAATGCGTTTTCATAGCCTTTTACCGTAAAAAGAAGGTTTCTGTGGAATTTCCATTAGAATTCAAGACAAAATCTCTTAGTTATCCTCTCATTTAAACGAAGTCGAGTTTCAGAAGTCTAGGAAAGCTATTGGAGTTAAAAACAAAAAAAAGAGAAGCTGCGCTCAAGTCTTGCGCAGAAGGTCGCGCACGAAAAGGCTGGTCTATCTCGTTAATGAGTGGTTTTTGAAGCATGGGACGTTGTCAGTTCTCCTCGCCGTGTCATGACGATCAGAATGATATATAATGTTGCAGGGTTTCGTTGAGACCCTGCGGAGATCTACCACCAGAGCCAAATGCCCCGTCGGCTCTGGTCTGTCTCCGCTGCTCGTCTGCGTCTCCGCGCGCCGCGCGCTACCTCGCTACCCCAAACGCGGGGAGCGGGGCATTTGGCTCTGGTACCCCTTTCTTCGCTGTTTCGAGCCCAATTTTAGCAAGCTATATATCATTTTGAAGCTCTTGATCTCTATTTTCATGCTGACAACGTCCCAGAACCACATTTTTTGATTTGATCGAGAAATCCGACAAAAACCTTGTTTTCGGGAATCTCTTGTTTTTTCCTAGTTTAACTATTTTCACGCGGTTTTTCGTGCATTCTATAGATATTGCTTCTGTTCATCATGCAGACAACCAGCCAACCCTTATCTCTTCGATTATGGTGGAATTTTTTGCGAAAAATCGTAAAAAGTGCGTTTTTCTTTACCTTGTTCTGTCTCAGTGCTTTCGCATCGATTTTTTTCCATCTTGGGCGATTACTGCTCAGAACAGTAAGCGCAACAATCCAGACAACGTCCCAGGAAACAAGAACGTCATTGCGGGGGTAAAAATTCAACGGACGCATCAAAATTCAAAACCCCGTGTTGCGAATTGCTGGTCCTGGAGCGAAAACTTGCATTTCGTAAAGCCGCCAAATGAAAGATTTCAGCCCTCTTTGCAGCGTTTTTATCCGTTTTTCAGCAGTTTTCGCTTCTTATATATGTTTTGCGTATATTCTCTTCTTTGATCATCTTCAAACAACCTTCACTATTCATGACGTCAGATGTTCAAATAACCTTCACTTTTGACGCCCTGTCTCTAGACTATCGAAGGTATGCTTAGGAATGATCATTACAAGTGTGATAACTAATGACTGTTACATTTAATTGTTACAACGACTGTTACAATCTACAAAAACTTGGCAATTTATTTTCACGGCAATAATTTTCACATTCATTTTGTTGTCTTTTGAGGTGCGGCACATCAAACTTCTGTGGAAACGAGAGCATTTGTAAAACAGATACTGTAAAAGAAGTTTTTGCGTAAGCGAGTTCACTGAATTGTTCCTCAGAATTAACAGTTCAAGAAGAGGTATAAAAACGGGGCACTTTTGAACCGAGCCAATACAGAGAATGACTATTCAGAAAAAAGTTATTCCAAACAACGCAAGGCTGCAACGCCACGTACGAGCCTCACTCTCGCTCAACTTGATTCGCGTTAGACATTTGGAGATACTAATTGTCTCAGAGAAAAGAACAGACACTAAAATTTGCAACAACCAGTTGATTGCGCACTTAAGGCAACCAAACAGTTTTATCAAGATGAGAAGGACGGCATAAAAGGAGGCCCACAAGGGAGGAGAACTAGGGACGAATCATGATGAATCAGATGTTGCCATCTCAGAGGGGATGGAAAGGTAACCAGAAATTGAAATTAGTTTTCGACGTGTTTGTTATAAAATGAAAATTAGTGCAAGAAGTCTTTGCTATAAAAGTTAAATTTGTGAAAGTTTGGAAAGAGAAGCTTGCTAATTAATACGCATGCGTTGCAAAGCTGCTCAATTTTCTGCGCAAACAAGGGAGAATGATTTAATAGTTTATCCAAATTATTAGGTTGTTGCAAAAACAATGTCCGTTTTACAAAATTTCATTTTGAAAAGCTATAACTCCGTTCAGTTTTCATATTTTTGAATGCAATGAAGACCATCAGATGCAGTAAACTTTTCGTAATCTAAGGCACACCTGCATATACTGATATCGCAAACGGCAAGAAAACCATCCGTCAGCAAACCAAAAGTTTTGCTTTTGAAAACCTCGTCTTTGAAAAATTACAAATTCCTTCAAGTTTTGTTGTTATGGCCGCTAATCAGCTTATTTTGTAGACGCAACCCAGTAGTATACGCTTCTATAAAAAGAACTTTAGCGAAGAAGTTCTGCGAAATAAAAAAGATAGAAATCCAAAATTGTTCACTTTTTCAAGCCTATTTGTGATAGGCTTGGAAGTCCCAAATTATGAAAACTTGGAGTTCTTAATGCACTGAATAGCTAAGTTTTTCTGCATGAATTGTAGATAAGATGTCCTGACTTTAAGCCTCCAGAACTGAGCGAAGTTTCGGCGATTGCCCTAATCAGGAAAAATTTCGAACCCATAGAGTTCCAGGCAGCGAGTGTCTTTTTTGAAGCTCGATTTGTCAGTTATATTTCAGGTATATTCGAAAAACTTATTTACACATGCAATAAGTAAACAATATTTATCATATACAGTAGCTATGTTTTCAGAAGAATTCCTTTATTTGCGCCTGAGTTGTGGCCAAGAAAGTTGGAGCAATGAAATTTCGATTTTGAGTGCGGCTGTGCAAAATGCTAGTGAAAATCTTACAGATGAGATAAAAGCGCAATTTTGCAACCGTTAGAAAGTATATGAAGAAAGCTTTCCAATGATGTGCAGAATCTTTATCGAAAAAGAAAGCCTGAAGGAGAAAAGTCGTTCGGAATATACGCCTAGAAAAACGGACATTATTTTTGCAACAACCTAATATAAGTCGCAGATATCCGCAGGTTGATGACAATGCAAAACTTATCCCCAGACAAGTTTGCTATCATACGGGCAAGATCGAGAGATCACTTGATGTTTGCACAAAGTTTCGAAGTAAATCTAATCTTGCTGTATGCTAGGATAAAATTCACACTGTTGAACTGCGTTCGTGAATAAGGACTGATCGCTCTCTTGGGTAAGGTTTACCCTTAAAAGTAGGATTTACCCTCAAGGTTCGCCGATCGATACGGGCTGATTGCTTTCCGAAGTAAACCTATCCTATCCTCAAGGGTTCGTTGATGAATACGGCAAATGAACCCTGGGCTAAAACGTATTCTTGAAGGTAAGTTTTACCCTCAGGGTTTCTTAAAGGCAGCTTCCAGCCAGAATTTGCCCCCCCCCCCATGTTTTCGTCATTCTGGGGCCTTTCCCTGGCCCTGATTACAGTTCCGAACTTCAAACTTTTCAAAATTCACAAAAAAAAACCCGACTCCTGGAAATCCTGTCTTCAGGGCGCGGACGAGTTACAATCGCTAGTGCCCGTCGGCATGCCAGCGGCGAGGAGCTGCAGCTCCATGGGTGCAGTTGCAGCAGTGCACAGCATCTGCTCACTATCATGTCAATACGTGTTGGGAGGCATTCCCTGGCTGGGCGGAGTCTGATATTAGACTCCACCCAACCAGGGACTTCCCTTATCTCCACTCAGAGACAACCTTAGAAGACCGGACCAACGCTTGCCCCTTTTGTGGGTATTACACTCAGGATCGAAACTAATCGAAGGGGTTTAGGTTTAGCCTGGACACTGCCTTCAATGAATATGGTTGATGATATCGATTTCTCAAACTATGGGGTGTGATCGATCGAATAAGAGGGTTGATTCTTGCGTGGTCGTCAATTTTCTTCCGGAGCGCTTATGGAGGAAGCAGGCTTACATCAGCTTATGCAAATGCCATTGACTGAATTTAGATGACAAACATAGATTGACCGTTAACGTATTTGATTGTTGTTGAGCTTGCAAAAAAGGCTTGAAATCACGCACAATAGAAACTTTAAAAACAAAACTCAAACTCAAATTTGACTTACATTTCGCAAAGCTCCGTACGTCGCTTTTTTGATCGCTGTTTTGACTGCATTGCACATATTATGACAACGAACGAATGGAGAAGGAAATTTATAGACCCATGCCAGTATCTATATAACTGATGAAAAGAATCCTTACAAAGTGTACCAACTAATCTGAATAAAAAAATCTTTTGCTATGCAAACAAAAGCATCTCACATGAGATTTTTTAAATCACGTTCAAAACCTTCGACCCTGAATTTAATACAGGCTTCTAAGGGTGAGTGCGGTCAGTTTAAGCCCGTTTCAAAGATTTACTCAATCTCGGTGTTACAAATCATGACCTTTCATCGTCTGGACTTTGTTGCCAACTTCTTTTTTAACTGATAAGTAAAAACACTCAAAACTTGCCAAATTTGAAATGATGCTCGTATAATAGCAAACTTGTAACTTGCAACTAGCAACTTAACTTAAAACGCCAAGACTGGAAAGAACTGAAGGAACCGAACAACAGTTCTATGCTATCCGAAAGAGAGGAGAACATCTGCACTGAAATTGCATTGGATACTTTTACTATAGAACTTCAAGGCTTACTCTACGAAGCCAAAAGCCGGTGGATTGATAAGGAATAGCAGACTTGGTCACATTTGCCCGAAGTGCATAAGTCCAAAGTTTAGTCCGCATCTGTTTGAAAATGGATTTTTCTGAATGCGCCTATTTACAGAGAGACAATCACACAGATAGAAATTTAGCTTTATATATAAGAGATATTTATACTGTTAGCGGGTGGAAGACTCTTCGAGGGATGTTGGCCTCGGATTGATACAATAACTGTGTAGGAAGAGTAGAATTGGTGGTTCAGATTTATTTAGGCAAGTACAAGGTTGTGCGAGCGAACCGTTCACGGTAAGCTCGTAAGGAGAGTGAGGTCAAAGCCTCCGAGATACGAAAGGGTGGTAAGGCCCGCCCACTCAACGGGTGGTCCTCGATT